TCTGTTAATTCTTCCAGTTAAATGGAAGTTAACTGGAAGTTAAGTTCCAGTTAATATTTTTGCCTGATGCTATTATTGAAAGGTTAAAAAACTGGTTCTACCCTTGCATACTCAATAGAGCACAAGTGTCAAGACTGTCCTGTCTTCAAACAGGAAAGTAATGGCTACAGGGGTGCAGCTACCCAAACCCCCGTCCCGTTTTTCTCTTCCTCAGATTATGCAGGTCAGTTCGAAAGCACCGTGTTCAGCGCCAATGGAACTACTTATACAACTGACAGAGCGCATAAAAAGGTTGAATTCAAACTCTGACAACAACATGTTTTGTTAACTTCCGAGACGAGGAAAGGCTCATATCGGTACTTAAACTATTGAAGACTACATACCACAAAATTTTATTTAAAACTGGAAATATGAATTAAATTGAATAAAACATTCATTTGGCCTCGAGTTGCTGTTTGTTGCTCTCACTATTAATCACGGGCTATCTGATGCGTCCATACAAAGGTTCTCCACTGTGTTGTACTGTTGGAATGGTAATGGAGGGCATGAGCGATACTCGTGATTAGTAGGGAATAACTGGCCATTCTGCTCCATTTCTGTTACTACGAAAACAATGCAGTTCTAGTGTCATTCAAAAAGACCAAAGATAAAATATTGCAATCTAATTCCATCTAAATGTTTATTAAGGGGTACACTACCCAGAAAAAACAATTTCTGCAAAAAAAGGTGATTTTGAAAAAATGCCATATTTACATCCACCAACATCTAGAGAGTATTCCAAGAAAGTTTCATTAGTTTACACTGCAGAGTTAAGTTTTTACAAAATATTTTCGGTTCACCGACGCTAAAGAAAAGGTAGGGGTTGGAGCACTTTAAACAGATTTTTCTCCATTACACTTTCTGGCATAAATTTCACATTAGGAAAACTATTGTTTTCCTATTACACAATAGAGAATTATTCTTAGATGGATTTCTGGGATAGAATTTCGCGAGGAACATGCCTGGCTGGTTAGCTTTTCTACTTTAACTTTATTGCCAAAAAAAAACTACATTTGTAAAGCAGTGCACACATGAAAAAAAGTAATATTCTTACCGAGTTATACTTATGAAAAACAATGCAATATGGCAAAATAACTAGCTGGGTATGTGCTATAGGTATTCCTATGACAATATTACAAAGAAAAATCACAAATTTCTATTTTATTTTAAAACAATAGATTTTCTTAAAAAGCCTCTAAAACGCAAAAAAAAAAAAATTTCATGCTAGGCGTTGAAATGGCATGTCAGGACATTACAAAAAAATTGTTTCACTATAGAGGTGCGTAGTTTTTTTTTTTATAAAAATAGAAATACGAGGCCCAATTCAAAGTTCCCACCAGTGCACTGTGACGCAACAGTGTACCGCAAGGTGTCGGGGCGGTCAGAAGGGAGGCATCGGCGGAAGTCACGTGAGTTGTATCCCTCCTCGTGCTTACCGCGAACGCGTGTAACATTTTTTTTTTTATTTTTGTTGTTCTCCGCACCTCCACGAGCGATCCAAGCAGACAAGGTTTCCTTTATCTGCTTTTCATCGCTTAATGTCGCTGTAAACGTAGAAGAGGAGTCAGTGAATTGATGTGATCAACTACAATGCCTAGAAGGTGCTGTGTGAGGGACTGTCCCGGTATTTCAGCAACTGAAGAAGAGATCACACTGCATGCATTTCCGAGGGGCGGCAGGCATCTTCAGCCTGAAGAGTATACAATGATTCGACGACCTCGGTGTCCGAACCTTCAGCAATGCAATTGGGCGTGTCGTACGCAAGCAATCCTAATTTCTGCGAGCGTTCTAAAATTTTTTTTTTTTTCAAGACTTGATAGCTTTTTTTGCGCCCAGTATAGCTCTGTATCATCGGACCGATCGCATGCACTCGTACACTGGCTTGTACTCGCAACGCTTTCATCAGTGACCTTACTGACTCTTCATCCTCAACTTTTACAGCACGCAAACTAATGAACGGTGCAGCGATAAAGAGCTAGTGGAACTGAAACTTCATTTTCTACAATCGCTCGTACAAAGAGCAGAAAAAAAAAAGTCTTAGGCACGGTCGCGGAGAGCACGAGGAGTGAAACTCATGTGACTTCCTGCGAACCCACTTTTAGTGACGTAGGTCGAAGCCTCCCTTCTGACTGCCCCGACACCTTGCGGTACACTGCAGTGTTGCGGAATGGGCACCCCCATTCCATTCCAATTCCATTCCGGGGAATTAGAGTTTTCGATGATTCCATTCCTTTCCACTCCTAGGAATGGGGACACTGTGCCCATTCCCTCTCCTGGAATGGCTGAGTCGCTCCATTCCATTCCTCCAATTCCTAAACGTTAAAAGTGTCACTTGACAGCTGCTATACGTTGCAGGGTTGGGCAGAAATGTTCAGAAATGTATTTGGAAATACAAATACTGGGATAGATGAAAATAGTAACTAAAATAATGATACTCAAGTCTCAAATATATCTATAAAAATATATCGTGATACGTATCGGAAATACATTTTAAAAAGAGGCAAAAAGTCTTTTGAAATACAAATACAAGAATACATTTTAGGGAGGGCAGAAATATAAATACTGATAATACATTTTTCAAATTTCTTTGAAACGCCAACTGGAAGTTTTTTTTTTTTTCTTTTTTTTTCTTTTTGGTCTTGAAATTACTTTTCCGCAGGCTTGGCACTTCGCCTTGAAGGTAGTGGTTCCGGACGAAGAGTCCTCAATGGATTTAAAAAACGTTCCATCAAGGATTGACCGCGGTCCCTTCCCTAGTATCCTGTCTGACTGACCAGTGATGAGAAAAGACTTCGACCTCTAAAATAAACTCCATCAAAACATCACCACTTCCCTGTCCAATAAGGGCGCCCCTGTCAGCACTGATCACATGACGTCACGGTGGGATGAACTAGTATTCTTGAATGTGTAGGTGTTGCCTTGAACATGAAACTTTACCCACGCTGCTGTATGAAAGGACAATACATACTTTCGTTGTAGCTGACTTCGTTGAAGACCATGCAGGCAGTTGCATTTGGAATTTTCGAGAAAAGTGGACCACCTGAAGCATCCTGAACCACATGTATTATCTTCTGTTACGGTTGAGAAATCGATACGGTGGCATCCCTGTTGTGACGGTCCTTCCTTTCAACTCTCCGCCTCCAACGCATGAATGGCAGTCTTCAAGTTTCGCCTAGCATCATTCAAACAAACGTCTCGTGAATTGCGATCTGAGATTGCCCCGGCACAGGTGCGAGCTCTTCGAGAAACAGCGCGTTCGATACGACTCGAAAGTGTACGAAGTCTGGGTCCGCACAGCGAAGTCTGGGTCCGCACAGCGAGGCCACGTCTGGCCTCCTTCCTGGGTATCGGATCACCAGAGCAGCAGGTCACATTCACGTCGGCTAATGACGTACCAGCCGTGCAATATTACAGGCGCAGACGCATTCGGATATGTGTTGATCTTCACTGGTGAAAGGTGCCACCCCCCCCCCCCTCCCCTCGCCCCTCTGTTCTTTGCTTTGACGCTTGTTTTTTGTTTTGCTTTTTTTCTTTTGCGTATAAGTAGGCTAGGGCCTTACGCGGGTTCGCAGTTTCCCGCTCATTTTATTTCTGAACAACCGACTCCCTGACTGGCTCGGTATAGCTGAACGTAAAAAATAAATAAATAAATATATAAAATATAAAGAACCTGGCCCATTCCATTCCCATTCCATTCCGGGCAAAAGGCATCTAATTCCATTCCCATTCCATTCCCCTGAACGTTGCCGCCATTCCATTCCCAGTCCATTCCGGGGTCGCGAAAATGCGGAATGATTCCGGAATCATTCCAACTCCGGAGTGGCAACTCCGCAACACTGTTACGTCACAGTGCACTGGCGGGAACTTTGAATTCGGCCTCCTATTTCTATTTTTATTAAAAAAACTATGCAACTCTTTAGTGAAACATTTTTTTTTGCAATGTCCTGACATGCCATTTCAACGCCTAGCATAAAAAAAAAAATGTTTTTTTTGGCGTGTCAGAGGCCCTTTAAGCCAACACACTGACTTCCATATTGTAACATTGGTAACAAGTTTCATATGGTCTTGCCACTCATATAGACTTCCATTGCAAATTTGATTGAAATCAAGCAAGCGGTACAGAAGTTGACTTTCCGGGTAGTGTCCCCCCTAAAAGGGGCCAGTAAAGCTTGACACATAGCAAGTTGCTGAAACATGCAGACTATAGCTGGTGAAGCACAGCGCAATCAACAGCACAGTCAGTAGTGACGTGTTGGTGCAGACAACGCTGGGCTATATGTCAGAGACATTGCTACTCGTCGCTTGTTTTTTTTTTTACTTTTTTAGGCAAAGCCTTCAGGTGGTACCAGCAGTGTGCTTCTATCTGTGTGTTTGATATGTAGAAGATCATGTGATTTTTTGTACCATGTGCAAGCCATGCCTCTGACAATCTGAAACCAATGTTGCCTGTTGGAGCCCAAGTTTTTGGTACTAATAGTGTCTCAAGCAGATTTATAAAAAAAAATAAAGATTTGTACATCATGAAACAAATGATGTAGGATAAGTCATAATAGTTACTAAGGTAAAATCACCTATTATATTATTTCAAAATATTTGGAATTGAGTGGAGGGGCCTTTCAAAGAGCCACACATATTCCAGGGGTTTGCCACCCTTGGCACACGCTGTAAAATACTGAGCAAAAGCATACACCCCTAAAGATTGGGAAGTCAAAATTGGAAACCTATACTCGCAAGCGCTAAATGAACACACAATTTATATAGCCTGGCCAACTCTGGAGTATAAAAAAAATAAAGGCTATGGATCCAAGCATCTAACTGCCTTTGATAAACCCAAACCTACACTCTGAATACCAGTGACCTGTACTTGCCTGATTGCCCGGATATCTTAGTACACGTCAAGACGATGAAGGCAGTAAACTATAAAGTTTAGTTGTAGAAAGCAACAAGCCTAGAGATCTTACCTGAATTGGACAGCGGCCAGGGCACAGCCTTTGTAGTGGCCGTTTCATTGTATCCACTTTTAGACACGTCCATCTGAAACAAGGTAATCACAAAATTAATCATGTGTACCACAAAGTAAAGAATACAGCAGTTTCACGAGTTTTATGCATTGCAAACTTGGTGCATGTGAAGGAGAAAAAAAGATACCCTTGGCAAGGGAAGTTGATATAACTAAAGTTAAAAACTAAAAATTAAAAATAAATGTGTGAAATTTTTTTTTAAAGAGACGAATGAGAGGGGAAAAGAAAGAGAAAAGTAAAAGTCAATCATGGACCAGGACCACATATCTCACAATCGCACAAAAAGAGGAGTTCTCCTGAAAGTTAAATGATACCATATACATTCATTTCGGGTCTTATATTTTTCGAAAATCTAAGGAGGAGGAGGAGGAGGGGGGGGGGGGGGGGGAGCTTAGTTCCCAGCTGGTTATCAGGAAGAAATGGGGCTCCATAAGAAACTATTCTGGAATATGTGATTTTCAGCTAATTTTTAGAAATAAATGCTGTAAGGTACCCAGGGAAGTGCCCACCTCACTTTACCTAGACATGGGCACTCGTTTGTCTGGTCAAATCGGTAAAAACCAAGAGGGCGGCCAATAAAGTGCTTTGAAGGCAGAGTCAACGGAATTAGAGAAAGCACATTTATTTGCACATGATATCCCTGTCATCGCCACTGGCTGTCTTGGGGCCGCCGCAATGGAGTGAGCATTTTCGGCTGATGCCGGCGCTTTGGAGGGGGTATGGGTGCTTGACGCATAATTTGGAAATTCCCAAGTTCGGGAAATGTTAATAGTGGGCACTTGTACGAAGTGGGCACTTCCACGGTAGTTTACGGTAAACATAATTAACAATAAAGAGCATTGATCACTTTCAATACATGGAATTTTCTTTTCACAATCAAGTCAATAAAGTACTCAAGATAGCATGAAACATAATAAAAAAACTCAATTGGGCCTTTCGACTTTGACTAACATAATCATCTGCATGCGCAGCACTCCTGTCTCCGTCCTACTCTTGCTTGGTCTTTGCACTTATCTTAATTGAGGTTTGACAGGAACAAAATATCTGCAACTCCTTTCAAAACAGGGGAAAAAGAACTCTCGAAACAAAAAACAAATTCCCTACCTCCTTTTCTTTTTTTTTCGCATTTGCTGAATCGCAAAGGGAAGTGCAAAGGATACCTTGCAATAGACATACAATTACTGCAGTTAATGGAAGCCAGCAGGATCGGTTCGTTTCTAAGGCCTGGACCATGTGCGCTAAATGATTTGGAAAATGGTAAAATAAAATTTTAGAAAATAGGAAAAAATGGGTTCAACCTGATTTTGAGAAAGCAGGTTCAGGGCATATGTATACAGTACTTTACCCGAAAACCAAGGACCCCACATATACCTGAGTGCATAATGCAAGCACTAGAAATACAGATTTCTTACTCCAACAAGTCTACCCCAAATCATAAAACTTGTCCAAGTCGAAAGCTTTATTTTTCAAGATTTAGGTCAAAGCTGAAGTTTTGGAATAATTTGCGGGTTCTTATTTTTGCGGCGCGGTGGGGTCTCATTATAGACTCCAATGTGTCTACATTTTACCAAAATTGTTTGCGGGACCTATATTTCGTGAATTGTAGGCGGTTCGTGAAAATTAGGTCCTCGCGAAAATTAAGTCGTTTATACTATATAAATTTTTTTTTTACCAATAAATAAGCATTTGCTTGCTATAAGATGCAGCCTGAATTTTGACTTCGACATTTTTGCACTCTAATTCAATTTACTGCAGAATTAACATCTTGCATTTTACGTTGTAGTAAGGGAAGCAAGCTGCGTTTTGCTTTTTAACTATTTCTTAAGAGCGGGATTTTTTGGGGAACTATATCATCCTTCCGAGGCAAAATCACAGGAACCACTAAATCAGTTTTTTTAGTGTTGTCCTTACGACGTCACCATTGAATGGAGTTCAATGAATGCATATTCTTTTAACTGTCAGTTAGGTGTGCCAACAGTGCCTTGAACTATTGAATCTACAGAAATAATCAAGATAACATTTGTAATCTTTTGCAGAATAGGAAAGGGGGTCATGTATGGTAAGAGACAAAACAGCAAATAAATCTTGGTCTTCACCTTCTTTATGGAGGTAAACGATTCCATGAAAATAGTAACGAAATACATCGGTACCTGTGTATTCCTGGTATCACCAAAATACATTGGCGGTACCAGGAATACACCCGAAAATATATTTCAATACAGAAATACAAAATAGATTTGAAATATTGTATCGCGGTACAGAAATATAAATTCAAAATGTATTTCTGAAACCCTGATTTTAATTTAGCAATACCTCCTCATACTTTTTTGCCCTTTAATAGTTCACTAACAGTTTATTAAGTGGTTTCCTGCTGGCACTTTCATGGTCTTTCACTGGTTTTCTAACAGTATGTCACACTTGATTGACAGTTCTACAGCAGCTTCCTGCTCCAATTGTTCTAACATTGCTTTCTAAGGATTTTCATCGTTCCATTACTTTTCTGATGGTGTTTGAAGAAGTTTTCAACCTATAATCTTTAAAAATCTTATTGTCTGGAGTCTGTTAAACAGCTTGATAGCTTTTTTCCGATCTATATTTTATGGTTCGACATATCTTTTCATAGTCGACGGTTAGTATTTTTTTTAATAGTTGACTGGTGCTACTATCTTTGACAACCCCCCAAAAAGCCAACTGCTGTTAATTTCACAAAAATTATCAACAGCTTCTCCAGAATTATTGATAGCCTCAGTGGTCAATTTATTGATAGTTTTGCATCACAATGGAGTAAGTACATCATAGATTAAAATGTACTCGTATGAATCGGCAGTTCTATGCCGTCGGGTGTAAACAGTATACAAAGCAATCCTTTTGTATGGAAAGATAGTGTGGTTTCTAGATTTTAATATTGTGAACAGTGTTTATTGAATGGTAACCTCATTCCCACAAATTTCACAAATAAATAAGTAAATAAAATGTTTCACACAAATAAATCTCCAGTTTTTTTTTTTCCTCCATTGCAAAACTTTGTAATCTCAAAGTACTCAAAAAAAAACAAAAAAACAGTGGCTGCAAAACTTTTTAAACATTAAGCCCACAACTACAGCCATTTAAAATCTGGGTGTCTACCAAAATGATGTTTTGAAATTCCTTGATTTTTCCAGGTTTTCCCTGGCCATTTTATCAAAATTCCCTAACCAACCCCTTAAACATGTCTGAAGCAGAGTTTTGATGTGAAAACACTATGCAGTAATGCCTCGTTAATATGAACCCCAGTATATGAGTACCCCGCTATACAGAATGTTAAATTTTCATTCAAACAGATTTTTTTTCAAATAGAGGGTGAGAGTTCTGTCTCCACCACGTTTCAGGCTCAGCGGTCATTAGATGAAAGAAATGATTGTCATGGCGAGTCGGCTAATTAACTAAAACCTCTTAATTAACTTCTTAATTATTGGTTTCAGGGGTCAAGATTGAATTGCAGTATTGACGGCAATTATATTAGAGGCCAGATCACTTTAAAAAATATGCGAAGAAGTAATAATTTTTTAGATATTAATCTATCAATTTTCTCGTTTTTTTTGCGACATATTAAAAACTTCATTCAAAAAGAGTGTCGCAAGCCCTGCCCAACGTTACGCTTCGAGGAGGCATCATTTCAATCATGCCGTCACTATGTCGGCAGCATATCTTTGGTGGGTGTGCCAACGACACAATTGACGATGTGACCTAAATGAATGCGTCACTTTTCCAAGCATCATTGTGAGGAGGGCTTAAAGGGGTACTCCGGCGATTTATTCATAGTCCCCGATTTGCTTGAAATTTTGCTCAACTCGCCAAACAACATTGCTAATATAGTATCCCAAATATTAGGTCAAAATCATTTTTTTTTTTCACAAAGCTATTGAATTTACAATTTTGGACCTCACCGTGTTTTTCAAACTGAAAGTCTCTACTGGCAACAACGAAAAAGTGACGTCAGTGGAAGGCAGGGGTTCGCTCTTTGGACTGTAGAATTTGTTCCCAACTGATTGGAAGCAGTTTCATGGTGTCAAATGAATGCTTTGGAAGCTCGCTCCAGTCCCCGCGCTCCAGCACGGAGCAAATGATTGGCATATTCTATTTTTTAGACTGCTCGCTCGACTGACAAGCTTGCCTTCCACTGACGTCACGGCACTGAAAAGTGTGGGTATATTTGAATGTTGGAAAAATATTTGACTCCAACCAAAAATTAAACTCGGACCCAACGTTTCAAAACCAGTTTGGTTTCTTTTTCAATTAACATATTTGAATGTTGGTTTTTGCATCATTTTCATTTGCCGATTTCACAAAAGCTATTACGAATTTCGCAATACTAAATAGCATACCGTAAAGGGTAAAGGCCGGGGAGTCAGAAAATATAGTTAGTTGAGGTAGCTCAAAAAATCGCTCGAGTACCCCTTTAAAGCGCTATTTTCAAGCTGTCAGGCAAAAAAACATGGAAATTGGTAGATTCACATTTAAAAAAAAAACATCACCTTTTCGCAAATTTATCTGGCCTCCCCCAATAGTAATTGCCGTCAATACTGCAATTCGAACATGACCTCTATAATCAATATTTAAAAAGTTAACTAACAAATTTGAGCTAATTAGTCAACTTACCATGACAATTTAACTCCTCATCTAATGTCCGCTGAGCCTGATAAATACATGGTGAAGACAACATTTGTCTAACTCTCCACCCCCCCCCCCCCCCCCTCTTTTTTTTAAAAATCTGTTCGAATTAAAATTTAACACCTAGCATATACAATGCTTTCGGAACGAACTGGGTAAATACATGCAGTTTTCTTGTCACTGTGGAGAATGTCACTCCTCTTAAATGCAGCATTGCTGCTCAAGTTGGGTTCAAGCTACTAGATAGGTGGGAGCCTGGTCATGACCTGTGCTTTGATCCCTTCTCATTCTTTCCGGAAGAACAGAGGTCACGGTTCTTTGGGCTGGTGCTCAGCACTGTGCAGCGGTGAAGCATAAATCATGTTGCAATAAACGCACCTCCAAAGAGGTGGAGAGCACCCACATCAAGTTTGGATGGGCATGAAAGGGGTGATTTCACTCACAAAGGTAAATAGTCTACTAACCAATGCAAATTAAACTCAGATCGAGCTTAACTCGATCGTTTGTGACCAGCCTTCTTTAAACCCTACAATGGGCAGAGTGAAGCTCAGCGACTGCCTTCTAATCTACTATCTTCTCATGATTTTTCATTGGGCCCACCACCTTGTTGTCGTAAGTGCATGCTTTCGGTAGAAATGAAAGCAAAATGAGTTTCCAAAGATCCTCCACCTTTTTTTTTTATTTGTAAGCTCGAACTCGCGAAAAGGTTGCTAACTGGAAGGTACTGGTCACACCAGCAATGATTGCGATGCGAGCAGTTTTTGACGGCATGCCTCAAGAAGTGTCGTTGAAATAAAGAAAAGTTGCCTTTCTTTCAATCGAGCTCCATCAAAATACTGGGAACGTGCCTAAGGCTGCTAATGTTGACCTAAAGCTCCACACATGCTGCCGGAAACCGGTCTGCAATGCACATTACAGAATTTGCAGTACAATGTACTGCTTTGTGCATGGTCGTTCCAAGGAACTGTTTTACAGCATTTTATAAATGTTAAAAGTACCTCTTATTAGGACATGACCACACTACTCGTGATTGTCATCCCCATAGTCACAAGCAAAAACAAGAAAATAAGCCACATTCCAGCGTAAAACATTTCCTTGCACTAGCAACCACATTCCTCGCTAATGCCTACTTTGAGAAAAAGGAGGAGTCGGTCTCTCGCAATATTTATACTCCACTACTTGAAAACGGTGGAACAGACTATGTGCCCACCCCCCGAAATCTTCCATTTTGCTTTGACCTCCTCTCCCCCCTCTCCCTCATACAGCATTTTGTCATGGGGGGTGCCCCCCCCCCCCCCGAAACAAAATCCTGGCTATGTGCCTGCCGCACGCGACACTGATAGACATTCAAGGAAAGTGTGATTGACACAGTTACCATTGAGAGGACCTGCGGAACGTTCAAGAAGCAGTGCGATCTTACTGCACTTGGACAGAAATTGTCAATGAAGATGTGAAATAAAGCTCTTCAGGTGGTTTCTAATTCCAGTCTATGGCTTATTTCATTTAAAATATATTCTTGATAGAACCTAGACACCATCTTGTACAGTCCAACAAATGCTAGTTTTTTAACGCATTTTACACTAACGCTGAAAAGTGTCTCTTTAATGTTCTGAAATGTTGGACTCTTGTTTAATTCGTCTACATGACAGATTTTTTGTGAATTGAAAGAGATTCTCGAAATTTGGTGGTCATTCACGAGTGTCCTTGCTGAAAAGAACAAATTCAGTTTAATTTGTTTTCAGTTGTGCATGCTGGGTAGAGGTTATGTGAATGTTTTCCTTGGTCTCTTGAAAAATAAAACCAGCCAGTTGTGTGACGGTCTCCGCCTTGTTCTTTTTCTCAATTCGTGCTTCATGAACGCCACATGCTTCAAGACCTCCACAATGGCAGCTGATGGGACATGAATGTAAACTGTGTAAGTAACTGACGAGACTGGAAGTGCAGGACACCTCTTTTGGGTGCGCCGCCTCCAGTGCACAACCGTTGCTGTCTGTTGCGCTTTGCCCGTGTGTGCACACTCAAAGCTAATTGGATGTCCAAGTGCCATCGAAAGTGGGAAGCTCTCACTGCAGATGGGACAACTGAAAGACTTCCCTGCCGTTCTCATCATGTAATACAAAATAATTTAATGGACTCCTACCGGCATTCAAAATGGAGCTGCGGTGCCACACCAGAATTCTGCAGCCCAAATATGTTGGGGCCTCGGGATTAAGAGCAAGGTGCTTTAAAGGTTACTTTATCGCCCAACAATGGCAGGCGGTCAAAATAACTTGAGCATAACTGACGAGGAAAAAAAAATAACTAGAAATTAAAAATGAGAGTTTCAGCGCAAGAGACTGAAATTTCTCAAAGTAAAACACTGCATTTGAGATCTAACCATTGAAATTCGAGGGTTTTCAGAGACCCCGCCGGAGAAACTGACCGCGTTGAAAGAAATGCGGGGGCCTGGACCACAATTTTAATTATACTCCACACTAATAACCCCGCTAGAAAGCGATTGTGATCGATGTCATGCGCAAAGTGCAGTTCCGCACAATCCTTTTACATCTTTTTTTTTTTTTTTTTACTGATCGTTAGCCAAAACAAGCCATTAAACCGACAGATAAAGTTGAACCTTACCGAGATACTGCAGATAAGATCAAACACGAAGTTCCACGTGCAAGGCCCATTAGAAAGCTTTTATGACGTTACGTGATCGAAATTTCCTAGCACCCCATCGCGGGTCCGCGTGCTCGGCTCCGTCGAGCATACGCTCGAACCGATTCCAGGCGGCGGACCTGCAGGCACACAAAACGACGAGCGAGCGAGCGAGCTAGCTGCTTCGAGGTGCAGCCGACGTTGGAATTTCACGGAAACTTTCAGCAGCCGAGCACCGCCTGCCACATTTTCTCGCGAACATCGGTGAAACTTCGGAACACCGCAACAGTGATCCGCCGCAGCAGCCTCTTTCTATCTGGCGCCCTTATTTCCCCCCGCAGAGCGTGAAAAAAGCGATCCGCCGAGAAACAGTCGCTCATCCTTGACCAAGTTGTGCGGGGCTCGGCGAGAAACTCCCGCGATCGCTTCACGACAACTAACCGTGCAACTTGGTGCAACCGACCGACTCTCGACGAGGCTCGAGCAACGCGGCCGCGATAAACAACGCGATCATCGATGCGCAAATTCCTCCCACATTCCGACCGAGGGACCTCGGTCAGGGAAAAAATGTCAACGTCAATATCGCCCCTTTAAACTGACAGGTTATTAGGCCTAGACCAGCTCTCGCGTACAGCCTGAAGCAGGTATGTGGGCTTGGTCCGTGCTGCTCGGCATCTGCCTGGGGCTCGGAAACACACGGTGTCCAAACTCACCTCGGGACAGTACGCCGTATCCAAGAGTCAACTTGTGGGCCGCCACATCGCAACAAAACTTGCCGACACTTCCAAAGAAGGCACGCACAGACGCACAAACAGCACAACCAGCACAGCAGCGCGGACCGTCGGACCAGTCGGACGGAGACTGCTGGCTCCGCTGGCGCCCCGCTTCTCCTCGCCCGCCTCCCCCTCTCCCTCACCCAAAGTGTGCGGCGAGCGTTTTTTCGGCACTACCGGTTTCCGATATCCCCCGGAGCGGAGACGTCCCAGCTTTATTTATTTATTTATTTATTTTTATATACTTGTTCCTTTTTGTTGTTGTTGTTGTCGTCCTCAACGGAGAAATTGTCGGAGGGGGAATCGTCAACGAGATCGGAATGTAGCGAACCCGACATCAAAAAATAGCCCGCTCAATAACAAAAAAAAAAAAAAAACAAAAAAAAAAAAAAAAACATTGGTAGATGGGATAATTTTGCAGCATGATGCAACGACAGCTGCCGGCTGTCGAAAATCACTCGGTTAATTTGCAGATTTTTTTAAATATACTTTTGTTTTTAACAGGGAGCTTGAATGGTTCGGTTCAAGTCATGTGCCAGCTTGCCTGCGCACTCACTCCACGACACGGGCAAATATTCAACTAAGTAACATAACCATGGGCAAGTAAAGAAGACGAAAAGCATTCCAATGTAATTTTACAAAATCCTTCGTCTTCAAATAAAGCGCGTGCTTGTGAGATGGGGTAAAAATAAAAAGGGCATACACGCCACACCGCCTCAGTGTTCTCAATATGTCAAGTTGAGATGGTGCGTATGTCTCTTATTTGGTGCTTGCCTCGTTTCGAATTGAAGTACGGAAGTCACTCGCCAGCTTACCTGCGTTTTAACTCTCCTATCTACTATTTCGTGCTACGCTGCTTAGGCTAGCCTACCTTTCATAGTGCTGCAGCCTGCCACTATTTCGAGGGCGTCATGCCTCTCATTTGCTCGCGCTCTCATGCGAAGGAGACAACAACACAGGCGGCAGCAATGCCCTAAGTAACATCCATAGAACATCACTGGAACCTTACAACATACTGAGGACGTCCCCAAATCCAGGCGTCCGGTGAACGGGACTTTTGACGATCAGAAATCGCTGAACAGGTTTAGCATGATAATCTTGCACAGGACGGCGCCGATCGAGCAATCTGTCTGTAGTTGTAAAGCGGCGATGCATAATCAAATTTCTGGTAAAGGATAAAGTTAACCACACATGATTCTAAACCGGAGTAGAACGGACGACAAAGGGTCAAAATAGACGTCTAAAAACATTTGAAGGAATTAACCTTTTTTCTTTCTTTTTTTACATTAAAAAAAAAGTGTCATGGTGTCAATAGTTTGTCGAATGACGACAGTCACAGTGATGGGATCGGTCCGAGCCATTTTGGAGCAACTCTAGGAGCAGCTAAGAGTTCATTTTGGTGCAGCAAAAATAACTTTTGGAGCATCAGAGCACGTTTCATTTTCATTCATACCACTGCAAAGATTATGTTAAGGTTCCCGTGCTGGCCTGTCCAACGAAAAGGCAGTGCTTACTTTACCTTCTCACCTATACACGACCTCTGGTTAGCATCAATTGCACAGCAGAAGCGATTCCCTCCAACATAAAACTAGCTGTCTAGTTGCGAGTGGATGCACCAGATGCGGCAGCAAGAGGATGCACTGATGGAGGACAGCACGAACTGGTGCGAATGGTTATTTTAGGTACGAAATCCCACTGAAATAATGTTAGAACAGAACTATTTCGAGCACTTTAATTTATGTTTTCTTTTTCGAGTCCTAGAAGCCGTAATAAAACCGCGATGCTTTATTCAGATAGAAAAAAAAAAAAGCTTTCGTCATTTGATTATGAACGTAGAGTTTTATGTAGAACTTTATAACAAAAATTGGCTCGTGAACGATTATAATGACTTCTTAAAAACAATCTCGCCAAACCCGCTAACGCTCTTCTCAAGCTTCCATTCACTGCTCCTGCTAACTTAGTTTAAATTACTCCCACCTATGTAAAAGTGATAATTGAACGAAAGAGTTGGCATAAGAAATAAACCGACAGAAGAGTCCACACAATTTTTCTTGCAATGCGGAAGTATCCTCGCAAAATCTCGAATAGAAAAAGATACCGCCAGGATATCGCAGCCTATGACATATTCGAGGCGAAGTTTTATTCAGAAATTGTGTCACGCCTCGCTCTGAAAGATAGCTCTACCCTTAGCACGCGGGTGCACTGCGGCGAAGGAAGACACGCAAAATCGGGATGCCTACTCCGTGCTTGTCGCTTCGCTGCAGTACACCAGCGCGCAATAAGAAGCGCACTCAACGAAACTAAGGACCAACTCAAGTCGCTGACGTCGCGTTAATGCGGTGGCGCTGCTGTCGGACCCGCGCATGCGCAATACCCACAGTCAGACCCGGTGTGGGCAAACACGGGCCAACAGACCACGAACATGAGAATTCTTGCGAAACCTCCTTGTACTGTCTGTGGTTGATACGAAATCAACTCGAATAGTACGTTATACATGAGGCGATAATCGAAAGTTCTGAAAACTCGCGCCAGCCTATCGTAACAATCCAATTTTCGAGGCAATGCTGGCGCAAATTCCTCGCATGTTTGTCGTATGTAGCAGGATGTAGCGGAACTTTGGCGATCACATCACCGCCAGCTCTCATGACGTCGAAATTTCAGAAGATTCAAGAGTCTGATGACGTCGAAATTTCTAGCTCCGTTCGCGATCGGAGCGCCGGCAAGCGGGGGGCAGCTTCACACCCCCGAATCTGCACACGACCCTCCGTGACCGCCGCTCCACACCGGAACAAACGGTGGGCCGCACTCTTCCGCTAAACTATGCGCATAGAATCCCGATCGAGGAAAACAACAGCAACGAAGCGAGAATATAAAAGGAAACCCACCAGGGTCAAGATTAACCTTAACCGTGGCGCTGCCCGCCCGCGCGCCGCAACTATACCCCGGGAACAAAGTATAATACAAAAAACGGAAGACAAAGAAAAAAAAAAAGAGTATATCTAGGGGGAAAATAATGGCACGCAGCACCGGCATGGCACGAAGGCAGGGGTTCACATTCCGCCCACTCCGTCTGATTGCAGTGGGTGAGGCAGGCTGAAATTGCGGCAGCGGGCACACACACACGTACATACACGCCAATATACCACCTAAAAAAACGAGGCCTGCACCCCCCCCCCCCCCCAAACACGCACACACACATGCACGGGCATATGCACTGGGACCATTCATCGCACCCAGTTCAGCTCCCTCGCCCTCCATCGCAGCGCCCTCTTTCTTTGTTTCTTCCCTTCCCCAATTACAGCACTACCTACCTCCCCCCCCCCCCCCCCCCCCCCCCCAACCTCCAAATCCGAATATTTTATTTTCATAGTCTCGGACTCAGGCGCAACAGCAAGGCGTCACGGGCACTGCAGCCTCGTTAGATTTTGATAAGGAAGAAGGTGCGCCCCGTGCGATTCCCAATCGAACATACATATCACACCCGGCCCTCTCGCGGCGGCCGGTCTCGCTCCACTGGGAGCGGAGGAAAGGGGGGAGAACGGTCGCCCGTTAGTCGATCGGAAGGGGGGGGGGGGGGGGGGGGGGGGGGCACTTCGGTCACGATTCGAATTAGCGATTGGCGATCGAAAGTAGCGCGGCAACATGAACTACCTACAACCCGCTTCCGAACCGAGCTCGCACGTTTGGGAGTGATGATCACCGCGTCAAATGGATTGGGTTTGCACAGTCACTGCACGTATGTATATCGCGCAAGGCAGCGCAAGATGCAAAACGCGCGTACCAGTAGTTTCCTGGCGTTGTTCGACACTTCCTTACCCCACCTCCCCTCTTTTTTTGTTTTGTTTAAGTTACGAGTAGGTCTATTTATGATCCGAGCGTTTGTTAACCTGTCAGCACCGTTGTGTGGATGATGGAAAGTCACGAGATGAGGATATAATATCGAAATTCGGTCCTCTGCTCGCACATCCCAGCGGAAGATTCAAATTATGGCACGGGGTTCAACGAGATTTCTACGAATTAAAGCAAACTCATCGTTTTACAGAAGAGGGACGCGATCGAATGTCGTTGCCATCAGTATTTCAGCAAACAGCAATCTTGATTAAGGCAAACCGAGTCTATTCCTCCACATTGACTCAAACATACTACAAAGAAAACTTTATAGAACAAATGAAGAGACCATGACCAAGCACTTTACACTCCGGGAAAGACACAACACGAAAGCCGAGTATGAAAAGAAGTAACGTAACATTAAGTGCAGAATTTGCTAATCAGACTGAAACTTGCATCGATTTCCCCGACCCATATCCAAAGTGCCAACAAACTACGAAGAACATTCTTCCTTAAAATAATATTGCACATTCATAGTCACCAAAAGTTAGTCACTGACATCTTAAAACAAAACAAAAATTATGACTGTGTTTTTTTTTTATATTCTTAAGAATATATATATATATATATATATATTTTTTTTTTTTTTTTTTGCTCCAGTTATAAGTAAGTTTATTTATGATTCGAGGGCTTCTTAACGTGGCAGCACTGTTGTGTGGTTGCTAATAATATTCCTCTTTTAATACGAAAAAATTTAAATTTAGTTCGCTAAATATAAATTTAGACTGCCAAATTTAAATTTAATTTGCTAAATAAAAAAAGTTTCTTTTTTTTTTTTTTGGGGGGGGGGGGGGGGAAGAAGGATGTTTGGTGTTACAAAAGCATCGGGACTTCCAACAAAGCTGAAAACCTGTTTTGTTGGAGCCAACGTAGTTGTTGCCATAGCAACCCGTCGTCGCAAGCCGTTGCAGTGGCACTCGGTCGGACTTGAGTCAACTGTGTGAATCAGCCTTCACACAGATGTGTTGAGTATGACCGAGGGTTGCTATCGCAACAGCTGCGCCGGCTTCGACGCTCCGAGTTTCATACTCCGAGCGCAGCAGCCAACGTTACTAAAACACTCAGTTGGGAAACTCGCCGTCGAAACCTGGGCCGCTGGCGTCCACCGAGACCGAGCTAAATGCGACAACAGCGCCACTCTTTATCGTTTGTCTGTACTGTGGTCACCTTGAGCTTTTTGAAAGCCTGTTTTTGCGTAAAAACAAACGGAAAAGACTCTTTTTGTAT